GGGGGGGCATGTGCAGGGAAGGTGGGGGTGGCCGAGGAGAGGTCAATGGGGGAAAAAGGAGACATACGTAATACTATATGTAATACTTCAAACAATAAAGAATTAAAAGAAAGATTTTTTAAAAATCAAGAGAGATAGTAGGAGAACCAAGAAAGAAAGGAAAGGGTGGTGCAGTGGCTATTGCTAGTGTCTCCCCAACACCTTATCTCTACTCTCTCCATAGACAGACCCATCTACTGGGCCACAGTGGCTGGTCCATGGATGGCCACACTATAAAAGATAGGCCAAGTAGTCCTTCCCTGTGATTTTAATTTCAAACCCTGAAGCAAGATGTTTCTTTCCTTTTGTTTCCTTATATTGGAATGATGTCAATAAACCCGGAAGTGCCTATGGCGAAGGTTCCTGCCAATGGCAGGTTCAGCTGTGGCTTTGCATGTGCCATGAGTTGATAATCACCACTTGTGCCTTGCAGCACAGGAAGAGGCTCTGAGGGAAGTTGGTGGGAGCTTTCTAAGGCACCTACACTTCCTCACGTCTTCTCAGATGTTGAACTGTCAGCGAGGGCTTCTCTGTGGCATCATGGAAGACAATCAGGGAAGCTGCACTGAAAACATCCCTTTCATGCTGTCTTCCGAACTAAGTAAACTGTCAATCTCTCTTCTCTCTCTCTCTCTCTCTCTCTCTCTCTCTCTCACACACACACACACATAGAACATGTGAGCTATGTGGGAGCTTGAACGGTAGCAAACAATCCAACACATTATACTGGTACATGTGTTATAGTTTCATCTGAAGTAGAAGAAAATGACACCAGCAACAGAGAGAAGCAGAGCTGAGAGCTGAGAGCTGAGAAAGACTAACCTTTTTGATACCATGTGAGCCTTAGCACCCAGTCATCCCTGAAGCCAGATCCAGGGCTTCCCTTCCTGGTTATATAAACCAACAAATGCTTTTCAGTTGGGTATCTTTTTGTTGCAAATTAAAGTGTCCTAATATAGAAACTGGACCCAGGAGTGAGTGACAGACCTAAATTGTGAAACTGCTTCAGTCAAGACAGGGAAGATAACAGTGGAGTTTCCTCTATCTTTGGCTGAAAAGCTGAATCCCTGGCTATAGAGTAAAGCAGTGGGTGG